CCACCACTGCACTCATAATAGGAGGATTCATCAACAACTCGTCTTCTGTGAGTGGTCGGATATGGCCCTGAGAGACCATATCATCAAGCTCTGATGGCAGTCGACAGAGCCACTCTTGTCCAAGGGCGGCAAGGGTCATGATCACGATCCGCTGCTCCCGAGCTCTGAAGGCCTGTCGTATCATAGTCAGGACGATCTTCGCTCAACCATGAAAGGCCAACACGAGCACGAGTCCCACCACTATCAGCTACCGATTCAAACTCACCAGTGGATGGAGTCATTAAGTCTGGTGGATAATCAATATCATTAATGAGAAAATCCGCCTTCCCGGGCAATACCGGATCCAGAGCCGGTGTCGCCATATCACCGGTAGTATCACATTTAGCAGACAGTGCCTGCTAAATGTGATGACAACACGCAGTCACGCCATGTGACTGCGTGTTGTCTCGCCCATATCACATGATGTCTCCGCCAGTCACGCCTCACGTTTTGTTCGGGAGTCCGGCACAGGCGACTATTCCTCACATGCTTTGACGACCCACCGATCACAGCTGAGAAAATACCCAGGAACTGAGATGTTCGAAACCAGATGTTCTTTGTCTTGCTCGAACGTGGCTGTGATGAGTCGAGTTTCAGTGAGTTTGTCAAGTTAACTCAATCTCGAAGACTTCAGCATCTGAATGGCTCAGCTTTTTTCTCGCCCCCAACATGGGCCCTCGAAGAACTGACTACAACGAAACACCTTAAAATGCAGTCCTTTGACTGAAGCTATGAAATATGACTGAAAAGATGATAGCAAAGTTATGAATTGTCTAATGACGGTTCGGACCCGCCCGTGAGGGTCAAGTAGGTGCGGTTCTTGAAGTAACAGACCATTTGATGGAAACTATCGGTCAGAAAGGCTTCATTCCGCCGCATGAGAGATGATCACCCGGAGCCACGTTGAAGTAGCTAGTGAAGTTCTTGTAATATTCTATGCGATTCAAAGCCCTGGGATCGTTGGGGTTAGAGCACTCTAAACCACCATTGATAATGAGGGTAGTCACCCCGAAACCTGGATAGCGTCCTCCAGCTTTATCTCTGGCAGTGGGCTGCCATTTCCCAACGACGATATCATGTATCGCGGGCTTAGGCGGCTGTGGGGTCATCAAGAACCATATAGCACTAGCGAAGGCTAGCATACCATCCTCGGCAGTAAGGAGGGAATCCGCATCCTTCAATAGTTTATACTTGTCCCCAAACATGTACTGCGAAAACGGGCCGTAGTTGTAATTCCATGATAGCTGCAGTGCACCTCTACCATAATAGCCTTGACCTTTCTGACATGGATACTCGGAATTCGATGAGCAATACGGGCATGCAGCGGCGGTGCACCCGATTTCGTGGGTGAAGTAGAGACCTTGACGCCAGCGAGGGACCGGCCCCCAGCCACTGTTCTCTCCAGTTTCTTGAGTGAAGTGAGCGAAACTGGTGGAGAGTTCTTTCTTGCATGCTGTATCCAAGTCTAGATCTCCGGCAGCGTCGTTGCAAAATTTATCGAACTTGGCCACCGCAGCGAGGAAGCCGGAGTAGGTATACGGCTTCGGTCCTGCCTGTCCATTGCGGTGGGAGAACAGATACTCGAATTCTTTCTCAGGAAGAATCTTCTTGACACGTTGAACATTTGGAGGGTCGACACTCAAGACTCCGTGGTATAGTACGATAGCGAGGTAGGTGAGAGACTGCAGAACGGAAGTGATAGACATTTCGCAGAGATCTGTCAGCTGAAGAAGTTGATTGATGAGCTTCAGTAGTTACTCTACAATGTGGTCGTCCACAATGGGAGACCCGCGAACAAGTAGACGCGTTCGATAATTGAACGCGGAATTGAACTTCAATCCCGCGTCACGTTTCGACGACACGCTTAGTAACCAGCTAGTCTCGCCATGGCGAAGAAGCAAGAACGCCATTAGCGCGAAGTGATTGACTATCCCGTCGTTCGCTAAGCCAATGAATGAACAGTTTCCACGACGCGGGAATAACAATATTATCCTCGATCGCATATGGATCCCATTTGTGCGCCGCGCACAAACTTTGTGCGCGGCGCGCACTGAAAGAATAGCACACATGCCTATCTGGGGCTTAGGCTGGGCTGGAAAGGATGGTATAAACTAGCCGCGATGGCCAAAGACGTCTGAACCCTTCTTCGTATACGTTTCTAAATGCTGAAGGGAAGACGCAGCTCGGGGATTCCCTCTCAAACTCTGCTCAACGTCCTCGGTGGTCAGTCGAGAATCTCGACTCGAGATGCTCCGTGAAATGTATACTCTCTAGCTTAACAAAATGCATCACGAAATCAACGTGAACCTTCAGCAATAACCTCAGCTTCTTGACTGTCACCCATTCGACGAGGCTAAGTATCAGGAGATGGTTTGGACGCAACGACCTTCGAAGGACCAGATGGAGCATTCACAGTCAGAGTAGAGGACAGAGCATCTAGAGTGTCAAACTCAATAAGACCGATACTACGAGTCGTGGTAGAAATAAATCATTGAGTAATAAATCAGGAGGCCTCTAAGTCCCCTATACATCAGCTTGAGCACCAGAAAAGCAGGTCTTCAATTTCGTCTAACCGTCGTGCAGCTGCACAGTATTTCAGTGAACTCCCCCGAAAACGAGTGCTCGATCAGTTCTATGCTCGTTTGATTGAGTTCCTACTCGAGCATGGGTGCCACATTGATAAGTTTGATCGTACTTCGCTGTCTACCCTCTCCACTATCGTGAGTATGGTGAGACGTGGCCTTTCTCAGCCGCCGTATTCCTTGACTCCAGAAGTGTCACAATGGAGACGAAGATCAATGTCACAATGTGTCGACAGTGGAGACGAAGATCGTTGAAATTTCATTACATTGAATTTCAGCATTCCATAACTACGCATCTGCACACCTTATCTGAGCAGATGCGGTCTTACAAAAGCATCCACACCTATCTATTTTGTTCTTTATAAGATCAATACCTGCGAGTGGATTGACTATATCACCACCAGAAGATACGCCCTAGAAGTACAATCAGGCTACAGGAGCACGCAATAGGTCCTATCGGATAGGAAGATCAATGCCGTTGGTACGACTGGAGTATTTTTCACTTCAACCGTGATTTTTCCCATTTTACCCATTTCCCTTTCACTTGTCTCCTCCTTACGGGATAGTATTGCTGTTGTGAGAGCCAACTACACCCGTGTTCTATGATGAGAGTCCTCAAGCACTACTTTCTGACGTAAACCCCTCAAAAAAGCGAGAAATCAGCTGAAGTGAAATACTCCACTGAAATTTTTTCCGTGAAATATACTGTGAAATATTTCAGCCACCCTGGCTGACCCCAACAGAAGTCTCCCGCTACCTGACAGAAGCGATACTCTGTGGAGCATATCGTAACGCAGCTGTCTCCATAGCTCAACCCACATCTTAGGACTATTCGCTTGACCTGTATATACCAATTCAACTCAACCCTATATCGTATCTAACGCTGTATCAACCAGGGTGTTGCATTCCACAAACCTCATATCTTTGGTCGGGTTTACTAAGTGATCTTTACTTCCTGCGATGTCGTCCTCATCGAGCTCCGCTAAGTCGGCTTTCTATCTGATGATGAAGCGTGCCCGCGAGGCGCAAGACCCTCCTGAGGTTGCAAAGCGCCTAAAAACAGGGAAAGGTCCTACCGTCTTGAGCGGTGGCTTACCCTCTGATATTGCCGACTCTAAGTCTGGGGAGCCGGTATAGCCAAAATCTGGATTCATCCCTAATGCACAGAGTCGCCCCTTCCAAGTTGATTGGTACGTTGGAAATCCGTGGCTAGGGTGGAGTCGCTCGGCCAATAAAGCATACTGCTTTGCCTGCCGTTTCTTCTACCCGCCATCGGTGGCGGGCTTCGGTCCCTCCAATGCCTCATTCGTATCATGATGATACTATCATTCGGGTTCGCTAACTTTAAGAAAGGTGTAGAAGCTGAACAATCATAAGGCAACCGATGACCATAAAGAAACTATGGTTCGGTCACCGAACTTCGGTGGGCTGCAGGGAAGATGGCCGCCGAGAGGGATAGGTCAGTGTCTGCTTTGATTGCTAAGCATGACGAGGCAACATTGTCCGAAAATCGATGTTATATCAAAAACGTTTGTAAAGCTTTATTATTTTGCTCTTTCCAAAATGTAGCCCTTAGGGGCATTCGGAAGGACAAAATTCACCCAATCGCGGTAATTTTGCTGAGCTGATGAAGCTCACCAGCACTTTTGATCCAACCACTGCATCTAGGTTGGCCGAGGGTCCTCGCAACGCCCTGTATACAAGCCCACAAATCCAGAATGGTCTGGTCAAGACCATGGGCGACTTGATTATCAAGCTCATTGTTGACGAAATTGGGGAGCGACCATACTGCGTCCTGGGGGATGAAACTAGAGATGAATCGGGTACAGAGCAGCTCGCTCTCTGTGTGCGGTACTGCAAGCCCCAAAAAGTTGGTGAGCCTTTTGTTGTCCAGGAATCATTTCTGGGGTTCGTGGGTTTGGAGGATTCAGACGCTGAGGCCATAGCCGGCGCTATGCTGCAGCGGTTGGATACTGTTGGTATCGATCCGTCGAAATGCACATCCTAGGGGTATGACGGGGCATCGGTGATGTCAGGGAGAAGGAAAGGTGTACACAAGGTAGTGCTTCGCTCGGTGAATTTTTACCAGCCCACTAATACGTTTCAACAGGTTTTCGAGCAAAAATCTGGTTGCACTGCTCCATACATCCATTGCTCCAACTATCGGCTGAACCTCTGCATCCAAAAATCGGTCAAGGACGTGGAAAAGGTCGCATCGTTTTTCTTCGTCATGGCCGACTTTGACCGCTTCTTCAAAATCTCGGTTGTTCGTAGTGAGTTCGAGGCCCAACAGAAGAAAATATACGATGAAGATACTCGCATAAGGACGCTCAAACGGATAATAGATACGCACCAGCTCGATCAGTCGCGCCGATTCGGCAAGATGAGGCTAGTGCGACGCTCATCAGAATGGGACTTGACCCTCATGGAGGATGCGCGTGAGCACCTTTTCTTACCTTTCATGGAGAGCATCCTGAGAGAGCTTAATGAAAGGTTCAACTTTTACAGCTATGCGGTGTATGATGGGGCTTGCTGCTTCAACCCCACACACTCCTATTTCCTTGACGCGACCAAGACCCGGGAGTTCGGCAGACTTTATAGCTGCAATCTTGAAGAGCTCGCGAGTGAAGTTGTGGTCGCATCGCGAGCATTTGAGCGACGCCAAAAAGAGCTCAAAGATGATGGTGAAGTTGGATTGGCCACGGTGCTTGATGCCGTTTCGTTCCTACATGGGCTCGAACTCGCATGGCCCACCCTTATGTACATGGGACACGTAGCATTGTCTTTACCTAGTAGTACTGCCTCCTGTGAGCGCTCCTTCTCCGTTCTTAAATTAGTGAAAACGCATTTGAGAACCACCATGGCCGACGAGAGGCTCTGCTCTCTGGGTGTGTTGTCGATTAATAAAGCGCGAGGGAACGCGCTCGATTTGGACCGAGTTGTGCGCGAGTTTGCAAAGGTTGATCGCGCTATTAGACTTTTTTGGGTATTGGGATGAATAGTTGTATTTGCCTGACGAGCCCCCTAGCCCTGAGTTTGCTTTCGCCCATGATGAGCAGCCTGCTCATCATCATTATATACAGCGGTTCTTCCTTAGTCCGTGTCCAATGAACATAGGACCTTCACCCTACTGATATGAAAACACTACACAATTTCAAGAACTAGTTAGTATAAACCAAGACCAAATTAATATAACCCAGAACAAGTTGGTAAAAGTCCAGAACAATTTCGGGAGCGGGACAAATGGAACCGAAAACCCCATTGACTTTACCGCATAGTACAGTGCACAGTCTGTCGAACTCTCGCGCGTTGGGTGAACGGTTCACCCAAGGGAGAAACTGCTAGAAGATGTCGCATCTTCTTCACGCATCGTAGATGCGTGTCCAGAGTCTCTGCAGACTCCAAACTGGACAGTCCAGTTGCTTGCTGGACTCCAGCAAGCCGCACATGTTCGTTGTAAGGGGCCCCTTCAAAGGAGGTCCTGCGGGCTTCCGTCATACTCGTGCCGATACTTTTTTGTATTCATGTCGCAGCAAATTTCCTTACCAATCCACTTCCCATATAGAAAACCAAGAAGTTCCTCAAACTCCCCCTCCACGGACCCGAGGACCTCGGCCCGAGGTCCTACCCACTTGGGTAGGACCTACCCATCTTGAAGGTGTGAAGCGCGGGTCTTACAAAAAGATCCGGAGTGAACTAGAGCTCGAGTTGTCAAAGCGTTTCGCGACAGTGAAGACGGGTACGCAATTGCAGCAGCTGCAAATGATATAAAACCTACGACAGCCGCCACCTATGCGAGGATAGGAGGCTCTCACCCTCGCAAAAGCCGTTTATCGAAAAAAGCAAATAACGTAAAGCGTATAACGTTGAAAGTGTATTCATTATATGCAATGTATGTACAGGTGCATGTCGTACATGATGTAGACAAGTTTCGGACGTAATGGCAGTTGCTTGCTAAATTGACCTGGGAATATACTTATAAATTTGTGTCGAGCTTTTGTTAACTTGGTCTTGGCTTTTACTAATTAGTTTGTGAAATGGTGTAGCGAAAAACATATTTCACATAGAACTTCGCTAAGAACGAATGCGAGCAGTCAATTCAACTTCATATGGCCTCTTCCCCATGGAGTATAACGCCACTTCACGTAAAACGAAGATGAAACACAACAGATTGAAATTCACAATGATGACCAACATTCATATATAAACATTTCTTGCCTGCCTTATTTACTTCAACACAAAGCGGGATCAAAATCTTAAAAAAAAACCATTTGTGTCTGCGTGCATTTCGGGAAGACCAAGGGTCATTAACTATTTCGCCACCCAACGATCCACAAAATCTCCTTAGTCGACGAAGACCGAGAAAAATAAGCAAATAAAGATGCTTTGATTATCCTCGAGGGGACATCAATACATGAAAATTCCAAATAATAATAATATTCGATGTGGCCAAGATAATATTATTCCATTTCACTATCGGCTGTCGTCGTCCATTCTTTACACCACCACTGATCATCATTCAAATGGAATCTAACACACGCAGAACTCCCAAGTTCAAATCGCACATAGAGTTGGTATCATTGGATATGCAAATGTGTGTTATTTTGGAGACAAATTATAGTGAACAAGTTGTCGCCATCACAACACATGTTCATAGCCACCGTTGCGTTGGAGTTTCACCCGTTTTACGTGAAGTAGCTCAATACTCAGTGGAAAACGCGATGTTCGCGATATACAGTGGTTTGTGAAGTATGTTTTCATATCACTAGGGTGAAGCTCCATTGTATATGCGATATAGTATCAGATGGATTCTCATTAATCTCAAAAAATAACGCACATTTACATATCAAATTTCCAGGCACTATAATAATGGAGTTTCACCCTAGTGAAGAGGAAAACATATTTCGCGACTACTGCATATCACCGCGAATATCGCGTTTTCACCGAATTT